GCTCAGTAAAATCGGGAAGTGAGCGAACACATACCGTCACTCGCTCACTTCTCGATCTATCCCTGCACGGTCACTCACGGCTCCCTGCAGGGATTCCCACCCTCCCCTGTCCGATCCTCCAGCGCTGACTGGCGGAACAGACGGGGGAGGGAGCGGACACAGCTGGCTCTGCCTCTGGATAGGCAGAGCCAGCTGTCAATCCTGCAGCTGGGTGGATCTAGACAGTATTGGCGGGATCCGTCCCGGCTACGGTGTCTCAGTATATCTTTGGGTCACGGGAGGACGCTAGTTTGTGTCCTCCCGTGACCCTTAGGAGAACTATGGGGAAAAGCCCTGACCCCGTAATTCTCCTTTAACTTGAAGAAAAAGAAAATGGCAAAAATATCCAACACAGACAATCATTAATCCAATAAAAATACTGATAGAGCGCCAAATCAACTGCATGTATAGCCAAAACATTTGTTTTGATTGAATAAGGAAAAATTTCCTTGAAGCAAGCCTTTAACCCCTTTCACTAAAAATCACATCACACAGCTCTGCATGCTATGAAATCTTACATTTACTATTTAAGCAAACATTTTTTGCTTTCAAGTACAATTACTGTTTTTCCACTTCCTGGTTGAGTAAGGCACTGGTGATGTAGCCCTGGTCTCACAGAGCCATCCTGGGAAGACTACATCACCAGTGCCTTCCAAGGAAATCTCATCTGTAAATCAAAAATCTTGTGACATATCAGGGGATAAGTAATATTTTTTTTCCTTCAGATGATGGGCACTTGTTCCAGGAGGCAGACCCAGAGTTGCAGGAAGTACAGGGAGAAAAATTAATCTGCAGTTAGTAAAAATGACCACCTTGAGAAGAATAGGTAGGTATGCAAATAATAAAAAGCCTCTAATGATCTAGAAGTATCTGTAGATTGCCATTACTAAACATTTCTAAAGGTGCATTTGTAGTCATTTTTAAGATAAGGGTGAAGACCCTCTAACTTCCTACCCCAGAGATGCAACATCAAGTGAGTAGACATTTTTACAAAGTAAAGTAATTTACCCTCTTAGACACTGGTTTAAGGTTTACCATAGCCTCTTGTTCTGATAAAAATTTGGATTTCCAATCACTTTGTGCCTTTGTGACAACAGACACAGACAGGGTGATTTTCTCCGGCTGAGACACATGCACACAAAAAAAAACAACTTTACAGGGGTTCTAATGCCTCTATACAGTAGATTTCCCTGTTGGTTATTGTATTCAGGCACCCGAAGCTGTCTGAAAACCCAAAAAGTGACTGCATCCGATTGGATGCCATCGCATTTCGGCCAACAATTTTTCACCCAGACCCTGTAACAAGAACGTTACCCCTTTAAAACAGGGGTAACGAGAAACATTAACGGGCCTGGCAGATGAAAAAAAGACCCACTGGCATCACTTAACTAAAAGGTGAGACACCTACTAGCAGATAATTTGTAGTTGTATGCTGGTCACACCAATGCATAGAAAACCAATTCCTACCTCAGAGGGAATTAAAGTGACACTAATCTCAGGAGTTAAATCTTAAAAATGCATTCAAGTACCTTAACTGTTAACAAACATGTATCTTATTTGTGCATCACTCGGCTAGACACCGCTCCAAGCTTGTATCTGTGATGGACTACAATCTCATGTTTAGTTTACTAATTTGTATTGAGATTTTAGTCCATCACAGGAGTGAGCTTAGAGCGGTGGCTACTTTACAACACACACAGGGACCATAGTGAACAAAAGTAGCCACCCTCCAGAAGGAAGGACAGTGTCAGCGCCAATTCAGAGATGATTTGAGGATCTACAGCCGAGTGATACACAAATAAGATACATTTTTGTTAATAGTGGAGGTACTTTAATGTTAGCTCGCGGTATACTGAGCCTAGGGTGACGGGAGGACGCTAGTTTGTGTCCTCCCGTTACCCTAAGGAGAACTATGGGGAAAAGCCTTAACCCCATAGTTCTCCTTTAATGAAGAAGATGACTAAAACAATCAAAAACATTTGAATGTAATAAACCATAAAACACAGATGCCACAGCCATTCAACAACAAACATAAAATAAAACATTCCTCTCCCTGTATGGAAACAAATCTACACGAAGCCGAAGGAGACGGAATATTTTCACATGGGCCTGTTTACCAAAATGTCACGTTTACTTTGTGCTGGTTAATAATGAGAAACGAATTGTGGGCCGCAGCATTGCAAACGCTTAATGCAGAATGTGTGCAGGACTTTGCCGCACAATCTGAACGCTCCAAAGCTGATTTATGTCAGAAATAAAGTTAGGATTTTCGCTGTTAACTCAAAACATACCACCTGAGGGATTCCATAACAGTTCATAAAATGTCTTTTTTTTATATAATAAAAGAAAAAAGTTTTAAAAAAGCAACATCAGCCTGTGTTGCAAGCTCTCTCTCTCCCCCCCCTTAAAGAAAAAGGAAAAACACATGTAGCATCATGTGTGTACTGTTAGAGGGAGGGATGTAAAATCTGAAACGGCAAATAAAGCAGGTGGTATAATTCTGAAGAGTGACTCAGAGTTTAATGGCATTACCAGGTTATTCTAGCAGACTAATTCTCACTCACTGCATGACTTCAATGAAGCTCTCAGCGCTCACGCTGACTTCGATTTAGTTCAAGTGCTATTTGATGTGTTTCATCTGGAGTTTTATTCACTTCAAACTACACTTCATTTAAGCAGACTGCTGTTGCACTCATTTATTTTTCTACTTTATTACTCTTGCGTTGCTATTGTGAAGTTTACATAACAGAGAGGTGCGCTGCGCTGTTTAGGTTTACAGCGGAGGTGTTGGCATTGCTGACAGATACAGAATATGGTGCGGAGATCTCTTGTAGCAAACAGACAGAAGAAGTGTGGAAGAAGTGTAGCGGGCGTAGGTTTGCTCGCATGCAGATTAGGTTACTGCATAATGATGATGGGAAATTCTGGATAAAACAAAAAATATATGAGCTGTTCATGTTGTAAATCACAACGGCTGCTGTGTCATCACCCTAACTCGGGTGGTTTTAGTGCATTGGAAGGAACAGGTGCCACACAAAACCTGTCAGATCTTGCATCCACCATTCCTTCAAACCAAGAGAAGCTGTTCAATACATGTTAAATGGATACTCCAAGTAAACCCGTGCTGCATAAATACTAGCAGAACCTTCAGATATCTACATGAATCAAAGCAATATGCAAATATTGACTTGAACTTCAAAGTCAGAGCTCTGGCCTGCCCTCTCCTGGACCTTACTACAGGTCTCTCAATTCAATGTGAGGCTATACAGTATACATTTGTAGCTCAACTACAAAGTTGTATTTAGTTGTGGAAAGAACAGGTGCTGTCAGGACAGGGAGTGATGGGAAAACATTTCTATAGGAAGACAAGCAAATCCACAAGCATGTAAAGTGAGAAAAGGTCAGAACTTCTGTCCATGTTTTACTATCATCGCTGACAATTTTCCACCCAGGTCCTTGAATTGAATAATCAACTTTTGTCGTGCCAGGCGGTGCCAGCAGGGCCACAGGCAAGTCAAATTTTAGTCAAGTCAGCCAACATTCAAGCAGTGTATGGCCAGCTTTAGGAATGGTTAGAGCTTCTGATAATGTTATTGTGGTCTGTGCATCCATTTCCAGGTGACAACCTCACCCCCCACCATGCTTGAGAGGGTGTCACAGACAGCGACAGAAAAGAGGAGGGAAAAGAGGGGCAAAAGAGAGGGAAAATCTCCCCAGTAGGGTCACAGACAATAAAAAGAATGTGTATGTATGTGTGTATGTATATATATATATATCCCCTGATGAAGTCACGTATTTTGACGTAACGTACGTAGGGCAGAGCTTCTGATGTCACTGCACTGAGCTGAACGAACGGGTTTTTTATTACTTTGCTGCCATTTGCCTTGCTGGTTGGATCCAGCAATGCCCAATGCCTGTACTGTTTACACCATTGTGAGTACGCATTTTTTATTTAATAAATTGCATTTTATTGGACGTTACGCACTATGTCCTTTTTCTCTTTCCACCGGGATTTATACTGGTACCTGTGATCTGAGGAGACCTTATCGCCTTTTCTGTGCATGGGCTCCCCTCCCCCATTAAGGGAAAAAGCGCATTTGACCTAGCTCTGTAGGTCTACCTCCCCAGGTGAGCACTCACTTGTTGTCATCACTCACTGGGTGGAGGTGAAGGTCTGCCTGCATTGTGTGATTATCCTTACCTGAGAGTTACATGCAGATTGGCTGCAAATCATCTGAGGAATTTTTTTGCACAATCACCATTGTTTGCTTTTGTTTTTTCTGGGACTCTTTTTGTCTATATTGCTTTTTTGTCTGTGTGTAGATATTTTCAATGCCTCATTTGTTTGAAAGCTCATATATGTGACTCACTTATATATGTTTCTATTTATTAGATGTGTATGATTATTAGCTCGGCACAATATTGTTTTTCATATATACACATATATATATACATACATACATACATACATACATACACATATATATATATTTATTATTATTTATTTCTCTCTCCCCCACTTTATCTAAAGCTATCTCTGAGGAGTCTGACTTCCATCCCCAAAGTAGGAGGCCTTGCTGGAAAAGTCCATCATGAACAGAACCCCACTCCGTAATGCCCAAAGTTTTATGTTCTGCAGCTTTTCTATATAATTGAGTAGCTGGGTACAAAATTCATTCATCAGGGAGAAACGACTCTAAACTGTCTAGAATTACAGAAGACAAAACAACGTACAGCGAGTTGTACATCTTCAGCATCTAGCAAACTACCAGTCTCAAAAACTGGTTTCAATGCAGTCTTTTATTAGGTGGGTGTGCCGGGAGAAGCTCAGCAGGGGCAAGAATTACACATTTTATGAATAGAACTCAAGAAAATATCCCAACAGTAATAAGTATGTTGAAGGTAACAAAGAAATATATTATTTTCCCTAATATAATAACATTAGCAACAACAAATCCTACCAGTACTGTGGTAGTCTCAGGAGTTTTCCATACAAAGCTGTGCTGAAGGCAGGGATAACAGGGACAGGGCTGCAGTAGGATCCTTTGCTGTTAAGAGACGTGAGGCCAGCTTGGAAGCCAAACACCTGAAAAATAAACCAATCACCTATCACACATATTTATCAAATGCAGCTTTAGAATGGTACAACAATCTAATATGAATCTAAGCTAAGGCAACTTTTAATTTATTAGAAATATTCAAGTGTACGGAAACAACTAACAACTCTTATTTGGTCCAATTTGATGTGTTAAATATACCATTGAAAGTGTTTTAATATACTATATATGTTTAAGGTGTAAGAAAAAAAAACATTGATTTTGCTTGAAATCTTGTGAGCTGATAACTTCTTGTGCTCTTTGCCTGTGCTGACTGGTACTAATTGCATTGTTCTCTGAGGACAACGGAACCATGCCCCTCTAGGTTATGTACAACAGGATATAAATGGGGTTCTGTAGTCTTGTCTTGTGTCTGTTGCCCTGATTCAGAAGGAGAGCGAGTGTTGTCTTTCTAGATCAGGAAGTATATTGCTTAAAAAAAGAAAATAATGCTGTCACTACAAGGGATGTCCAGATACCAGTGCCGATAATTGGCATTTTCACGAGAACTACCAGGGTTGCAGCGGTTGCAGCTGGGACCTGGCTCTGGCGCTCCACCACTGTCCTGAAATCATTAGTCTGTATTGTTTTAGAAAAACTGTCACATGACAATAAACAAAAATGTATCAGTACTTGTATCTGTGAGTACTTGGACAAGTATCAGTACTTGTGCTTGAAAAAATGGTATCGGTGCATCTCTTATTTATATTTATAAAAAAAAAATCATACAAAAATCATACATTAAAACAGGGATTCAGCAATCCCAGGAGCTCCGTGTGCTGCTTACAAATGACAGCTGCCTCCTAACTTTAGAATTTTTTTCTATTCTAGTCCTGGAGCTGGAAACGTATCTGTACTTGTACCGAGTATGGTACTTGGTATCTGAACATCCCTAGTCACTACATCTAAGGACTGGTACAACATATTACGTTTTTGTTTTGCAGCTTAGATATGCTTTCACCTTTTATACAACCACCTTAGAGACACACTGATCTCAACTGTAGTCAACAAGTCACTCGTTCCTGGGTAATCTGATCTAATTTTGCCATGTGTTTAAAAGGAGACAAAAAATACCTCCTGTGTTGGTACCCACCAACATAAGATGATCAACTTGTATCTGTTACTGGGCAAAGGTTCTCAGGCCTTTGGATAAAAGAAGACCAACACACACGCTAACAATTCCAATGTGTAGAAAGCAAAATCGGCCTTGCTGAATTACTTTGACCAGTAACTGTTTCTTGTTCTACAGCTGCCCTGTTGAAGCTAAAAGGGCAGTTAAATATGGAGATGCTGCTCTATAAAGCTGTAACATTGGCTCATGCGTGCAACCATTTTTATTTTATATCAATTACAGGCATCTATATAGTGCGGTCAGCCTTTTGTATAAAAGCTTTTGGCATAACTGTTGTGTTATGCCACATAAGTGACAGCAATAACAATGTATAAGTCATGTTGACTCTCATAACTCTACGGTGTCTTTGATTTTTACTGAGCTGAAATGTAATTTAGCCAAAAATCTTGCTCAGGTCATGAAAACAGATATGCTTTGTCAAAAAGTGCATGTTTAGATGAAAAACAAGATGGAACCCAATGGGGATCACTTCCAAGAGAAAGGGTGGTGCTCAGTTGTCCTAACACATGTCCTGTCCTAGGCTGACAACACTGCTCTTCCATTGATACAGTGTGATGAGTGAGCGCAGACAGGAAGTGTGTGAATGGTATGATTATGAGGTGAAAAAGGGGAAAAGAAGGCTGAAAAAAACAAATGCAATCACCACATCTAAGTAGTGGTATGTTGCTGCAATATATTGCATTTCTGTTTAATGGCTCCCACAAGGTTTACACAATTCCTTTCGGTGGGACTGCAGCCTCAGGACAACCATTATGTGAAAATGTGCTTCTTTCCAGGGTACTGCAGTGAGGGAGATCCAGGTGGGGGAGTATTCTCATTAAATGGCAAATTTTCATGTCTGCTGGAGTGTTCTTTTAATTTGTGACATTTAAATCACAACATCTATGTCCACGCTTTAACTTCCCATCTCACAAGTAAAGTGTTGCCGATTTATCATGCTGTGATGTCTCTTGTACTGTATTCCCCTTCACATCTGTCCTAGAACGACCTGTTTGGGTCCATAATTGGTTCCATACCCTCCTACACATGAGCATTTATGTTTCTTTGTGATGACTTTATTCAAAGCCTTTGATGTTTTAACTACATACCGCAATGATCTGCGGATATATTTCTTTGTTGCCCTTACAGGTCAAGAAAAATTTATTTTTGGGATCATGATGTGAAATACTGAATAGAACGTTTTCCTTCACTTCACAGGTCACTGATTTCTGAATGAATTCAAAGACAAACATCTACAGCTACTTAGAATGGAAGCAAAGGATTGTGGGTAGACAACTTGTTCTCTGTCTGCCACACATCCTAATATCAACCCAGGCTGCAAGAAAGTACAGAAATTGCTCACATGCAATACACTTATGACATATGTGATCCATTATCTAGTATACTGTGGGGGAAAAAAATTGGGCACCAAGCCATCAAAGTCTACATTTTATGGTCAAAAGCCCTACGAGTACATTTCAGGTGAGGCAGGTCACACAGTAGAGTGTTCTTTTATATTCCTAATATTCTGGCTGTACACAGAGAGGCACATGGCATAAATATTAGCCAAGGAACTATGTGATATCTTATAAGGCACATGACATAAATAATATTCAAGGAACGATGTGATATCTTATCAGGTGCATAGGCTACAAAGAACCCCTTCTGGGTCAGGAATTGATGGGGAGGGCTCGGTTCTGTAAAAAAAAACATCATGTAGAAGAAGTATACATACTACATTAGCAAAATTGAAGTACTGTTAACTCCCTATTATCCGGCATTCAAGCAAATATAACTCTCAAGCACCAAGAGAAAAAAAAAGGAGGACATGATATGTCCTCCATTTTTTTTGCCAGTTGCTTGACAGACAAGTGCACAGTAAAAAAACTTTTGTTAGCAATGTTACCAACTAAATTTAGTTAGTTGCTAATGAAATTCTCTGTTTACATCTTGCTGCGGCCAACGGCTAGATTCCTCAGCTGGCAGGTGGATGTAAACAATGAGCAGTGGGCTTGTGCAATAGCCAGCCTGCTATTGGCTATGGCAAACTGAAATAGCCAATAGATGAATCCTAGCCAGCAGATGAATGCGGTGGTTGTTGCCTGAGAGTTAATAGTAACTCTCAAGCAACCAAAAACTACAGTTATCTGGCATCTACCAAACCCCATGGATGCCGGATAACTGGGAGTTTACTGTATATTGGAAGCCAAAGGTTTATTTAACGAGTAGGGAATGGTAAATCCTAGTTAGTTTTTATGTTTTTGCTGTCAGCATGCACATGGGGAAAAATCTCTATTTTTACTGTCCAAAAGACTCAACCAGAAGTTAGAGGATCTCTCTCCAAAGTAAGAGGAAATTCCCTAAACAGAACAAATGTCCCTACTAGAAGATTTCCCCTCTGTGCCTATTCTGGAGACAAAGGTAAAACTAGGATGATATAACAGAATATTGTTGCAATAAACCATATATGAGATATTATAAAAAGTCATATTTTTGTTTCATTTACATATAAAAGCATATTTTAAAACTAGATTATAATCCGTATACATGTTTTTTCTGTTTACATCAACATTTCTTCTATCACCATTTGACTATTTATATATGAGTTGATGATCATTTTGCAAAGTGAATTTTTAATTAGCAAAGCAAATTTAAAAAAAAACATACCTGTACGTTATTGGATGATTACATTTAGCACAGCTTCATCTCATTCACTAAGCTGACAAATTGCATTGTTAAGTGAAAATGTTCTACTCCAGGGGTAGGCAAACTCCGGCCCTCCAGCTGTGGTGAAACTACAAATCCTATTATGCAGCTGCCTCTGAGAGACATGGCTGTGGCTGGAAGTCTTACAATGCCTAACAGGTTTTCCAGTTGCACCACAACTGGAGGGCCAGAGTTTGCCTATCCCTGCTCTATTCCTTTAGTAAATCAATCCAGTTGTCTATTTTGTTTTAGCCTTAATAAAGGCCCAAGTAATGTGTGTAAATTATAATTTATTCCTAGAGTGTGGCTTTAACTATTCATTGCTCTATGCAAAATGTTTAAAAAAAAAGTGTTGGCTCTAGATTCACTTAACCCTCCATCTCCTAAAAACTGAAATATCAGTTCCAGGTAAACAGGCCAGCAAAATACAAGCTTATAGACACATGTAAACTCGATAATACATTGCTAAAAACTAATGTCAAAGATAAATTACAAGGTTTTTAGCATACATAAAACAACATTAAAGTGTCCTAAAGGTACAATGTTGTTTAAAGCAATCAACCATATTCTTCTGCTATTTTATTTCAGTGGAAGTCTAAAAAGAAATGGAAACATTTGCCTGGCTACTTCAGGCAACTCAAACTCAGACATGAGGGTGCTATATTATAGGTTTGGGCTAGTACTGAAATCGTAAGAGCACAAGTAGCATAAACAGTGAGGCACCTTACCTTCAGGTAGCAGTGTGCATAACAGTGGTGTAGTAGGTTATCCGAGGGCTGGCTCAGGCTGCTCACTGTCTGAACCAATTGCTCTGCATACATTGGCACCGAATGCTCAAAGTTGATTTTCTCTGCAAGAATTTTGATGGCAGGCAGAGGTCGTATTGGCTGAAAACTTGTTGTGCTTAAAGTACCTGCGGAATGCTAAAAAGGAAAATACACACACTTAATTCATCCTGTTTAATGCACCACTGGGTAAGTAAAAAAAACAGGTTGCCAAAACTAATAACACGTTTCATAAACATTTTAAAGTGTACCTGTTATCTTCACACAGGGAAGTTATTTTACAAACGAATCTGATGTATACTCTGTTAGAGAACTAGTAACTAAAAACATTAGTGAGCCAAGACAAGTACTTTTGCCACCGTATAGCTGCTAGGTCTACTAGGAATAACTCAAAAAGAGTCTACATATCCCATATGTAAAGGAAGGAACTGGAAATAAGGTACAGGGAGCATAGGGGTAGGAGAAGATAGATATATATTCAATTAAATGTACTTTTTCATTTCCTCGCAGCAGTGATTGCACTTTGCAGTTCTTCCCAGGTTTTGTGGATTTGGCATGGGATCCTGGAACTGGGAAGATTTCAACGAGAATTGGAAGGGATGAGATCTCCAGTCCTGGGTCCGTGGTTTAGTAGGGGCCAGCACCTAATGATTGCACACCTGTGCACAGCCCTTATGGAAAGGGTGCTGGCTGATGTTCAGGGTTCCAGCTGGAAGACAAGGGAGGTGTCTGTCCAGGAGGACTCCATCCTGGAACCAGCCTGTGTGGCAAGTCTGTGGGATGCAGCCTGTTTGGGAGAGGTTTAAAGTAATAACCTGAAGTCGGGGAGACTTTGAAAAAAACGTTATTTTGCTGAAGTTATGTTGGGAGAAACCTCTGTGAGGGAAACCTTGTGTGTACTTTTAAATAAAAGTGGGCAGGAAGCCCTAAAAAGAACATGTTTGCGAGTGGACTCCGACCTTAATGCGCTACCATTTGATGTGCACTTTCTAAAATGTTGTCATATCTTTACTTGGAACCAAATTCAAAACATGACCATATACATAAGCATTAGAATAATTCGAGCCTAAATGGACTACTGTACTGTTAATCACCCTTGTTGCCCTCCATTCTCTACAACTTATTTTGAGCCAGACGACTATTTTAAATGCTGATTCACCTTAGCTAACCCTTCTAGTAAATTTAAATTCTTATTTGTGATTTCGGACTCAAAAGTCATAAATAACACGAGATCTAAGTGTTCCCTCTCTTCTCCGCACACAACTCCTCAATTGCTGATCCACCCTGCAGATGACCCACACCTCACCACATCTTCCATTACCACTAATCTATCGAATTTTCTCAAGCTGCACCCACCAAGTAGAATTCCCACCTCGCACCATCAGATTCTGCAATATTCTTCAAACCCTTTATCATTGCATAAATATGATGATACCTACAGGGATGCTTTCAAATAAATTAAACTTTTTTTGTGTGAACTGCAAGCAATTTAAGCAACCCTTCCCTAATATTTCCAGATGTTTAATGTAGCATATGATCTCATTGTACCTGCTATGGAAGCATTCTTGCATACTACTTCAAATCATGAGAGTTCCCCGAGGTAACAATATATTTGAACTCCAATCCAGTGATGATACCCAGCTGGAAAAGTTATATATACGATGAGATTAAACTTAGCAACGCTAAGTTGAAGACACACCACTTAGAATTTTCAGGTAATACATGACAATATCTAGCCGATATTGCGCAGGTTTCCATCAGCTTTACAAATTCAAGGAATGCAGCCATGTTCTCAAGTGAAGGAATACAGATCACACTGGCTCCATGAAAATCACGGTGTTTTATTGCAAATTACATAATCGTGATGAAATGCAGATTCTCGGTGTCAAACAGCTGCTGCCGCAAATGGGTCTGTAATTATCTTCTTACGCCAAACTCACAACTACTGAACAAGAGTCATCTTATGACCCTGGCTCTGGAGTTTGAGAGAAAAATAATTAGGTGCAATTAGGAGAAAAGTGAATCCAAAATACATCTATTAACATGAGCTATTGAATGCGGTGTCTGCCAAGTCTCCTGCATATAGTGCTACACGATGCCCTGCTTTCTGAGTCCTTAATTCACCTAATGGAATCATCTCAACAAATTAAATTCTTATTACAGTAGATGTAAGGGAGTCCTTTTACACTAGATGAAACTGTAGTAAACATATGAAAGTTTTATTGTATGAACTTGCTGAATTCAGGCAAACATGACACTGCAAAACTCCATGGGGGAAATTTATAAAAAACTGGAGTAGACAGAATCTGGAGCAGTTGGAAACCAATCAGCATCTCTCTTCAGTTTGCTCAGGTAAGATTTAAAAATTATATAGAGAAGCTGATTGGTTGCAGTGCAAATTTTCCCCAGTTTTGGTCTGTTCCAGTTTTGATAAATCCCCCCCCCCCACCCCCCATGTTTAGCAGAAACAGTTTTGATCTGAGGCTTATATGCCGTGTAGACCTACAAAGACCAGTGTATGGGTTCTGTAGTTTGACAAAAGCTGGAGATCCACAGAATGCCTACATTTGCTTTACCATGTTACAGTTCATACCTTATGCCCCATTACAACAGGGAGTAAATGCCCAAGCAGGTTGAACTCCGCCATGGTGACGGTAATGGAACACTTCAGCAATGTGACGCAGGTTAGTCGTGTTGGTATGTATTCCTCCAGTGCTGCTACCTCTTCAGAACTTGGTAACGTCTTACATTCTTCGAGTGGAGCTGGAGAAAAGCAAAGCAGTGTTGTTGGCAGGAAATGTAAACTCAACTGACTTGTTTTTTTTTTCCTAAGAACGGTTTTAAAACAAGTGTGCCTCACTTATAGTTCTCCTTTAGACCCCCTGCAAAGTCTTACAAATACCTGTTGATCCTGCCAGTAAAGTCCATTTCAAAGCAGCTTCCTGTGATGGGGTAACAACACTTTTGCACTGTTTATGAGTTTAGAGCAAATGCTTTCACCCTCATGTAAGCTGTACCTACTTACATTACAGTAGGATAAGACATTGAAGGGGGTGTGGCAATCAGCATTGTCACTGCTGATTTCCATTGCTGTATCTTGTCAGTCAGCCCACACCTAACCCTGTCCAGCACTTTCTGAAGTGGCAGCAATGCCTCTGCTGCTGAAACCATTGCACTGTCAGCTGCAGTGTCTGTGGGGGATAGTGTGTGAGTCACAAAGGATTTGTCTCACTCAGAGGAGGTAAAAGGAAATACTTTATGAGGCTTGTGTGCCACACATTAACTGGATGTCCTTAGACTGTCAACCAGGGGGCTTTAGTTGTAAATTAAGTTTGCTGTTTCAGGGCTTGTCTGTATAAATGGCAGGATCAATTCATCTCTATGGATTAATGGAGCAGTCTCTCAGATACAACAAAAGTAAGCATTAGTGTTGCATCACCAGTTAGCAAAGCTAGGATGAGGTGGGCAGCCAAGTTCCCCATCCTTCAAAAACGTGTCTCCAACTCCAGCTTACAAACTAATTTAACAGATGCTGATGCTTGGGCAAATCGATAGTGGAGCATTTTAGGCGTTCGACCAAAAAGTCTGGCGAGTGTATTTCAGTATAGCAGCGTTACTACCCTAGTAATGTTAAATCTTCATAAGTTTAGACTAATATGAATAAATCAAGTCTGCTGAAAAACAAATAGAAAATACCAGGGCGGGAACAGCTGTAAGCTTCATATTCATGATCGAAAGAGCAGGCCACCATCTTCATGATCCTATGCACTGAGCTGCTGTCCAGTCTTAAGTCGATGGGACCAATCACAACCCTCTTTATGGACATTTCTTGGAATTTACTAATCTCCTCCGGCTTCAATGTAGGAAATTCTTGCTGGCTTATTGATCCTTTGGAAATACAAAAACATTATGAAGGTTTTCTTAAAAATGTAAAACATATGCCTTTCTTATCAAAATAATTATTTGGTAAAGCCAAAAGAGTTATTTATTTATGAAAAATAAATTCTTAATAAACAAAAAAAATCCTAACTGCTCGTTCGCTTTTTGCTACTTTTGTAATTCCACAAAACATAGAAATAAAAATGATTGAAAAAGAAAATTGAACTGATTGAAGAAATAATTTTATGTAGAACGTTTTTGGTTTTTTTTAAAGCAAGAGGCTAGCAGACTACATAAAGCAAAACAAAGCAAAACTGCTCAACACATGATTCCAAAATCAAAGGGTAGTTGATCAAGGAGTACCAATGACGTGAAAAAAAAAAAGCTGATAAACATGGGATGAGTTTTCCCACCAGATTTATCTAGAATACCTGCACTGCAGCACATTTCTAGAGTAAGAAGTCCAGGAATGTTCTCAGTACATAAAGAGATATGTATTTCAGAGGCTCAATCTGCATCATTTAACCCAGTACAGTAGCAGTTTTTAATTATCCACACTGGTTCCCTGGGCATGTACCAGTCTTTAGAAGGCTTTACACGGTACTGTACAGAGAGCGGTACCTAGCTGTCAAACTGACAGTACAGCCCTACAGATTAAGTGTAATCTGTGGGGCAGGGCTGTCAGTTCAACAGAAGCTTCTGATGCATGGAACAGTACCTGGCTTTTACACAGACAGTCCAGCCCTACAAAATACATTGGGTCACAGTGATAGACAAAGTCATGCAGACAGCCAAGCCCTGCAGATTACCCTGAAAGAGCATTTTATCCCATATAATCTACAGGGCTGAGCTGTGAATTTAACAATTAGGTCCTATTCTGTGCATCAGTAGCACTGACAGTGACTACTGTACGAAAGCAGCCTGCAACTGTAAAAAAAAAGTTTTGATTTGCGAGCAGGTGCCAATGATTCCTGTTTCTGCACAGAAAAGGGAACAAGCCTGTCACTAACATGCTACATTTCCCCATTACCTAAGTCAGGTAAAACACTGATGTCCACTGGTGGCATGTTATCAAAATTGAAAAAAAGTATACTTTGTCATTTGTTGTTCTCTTGAGCAGTCTACCTGTTTATGACCAAGCAAAGGATCGCTTGATTATAACATATGCACTGAAGTTTTATAAAGCTGTAAAAGTTATGCACAGAACAGCTTACACCAGAAGGTAAATATCCAAGGTAATACGGAGGACAGACTGTCAAGGACCAGGTTGCTCTTTAGGAAGCGTTTGTTTCAGAAGAGAGGACAAACAAGAGAGAAAGAACATTGTACCTTTAGCACTAGTACTCTCCATTGTGTACAGGTAATCCATGTAGAGTGCTCCAAACCTTTGCATTCCGGCTATCTCTGTGTATGTCTCCTATCAACAAAGAAAAGCAAACACACCTCTAATTCACACAAGAGAAGCCACAGATTATAACAGCACAGACAAAGTATCTGAGACGTAAGCATGTTTGGGTTTGAGTGTGAACACACAAAAAAACTAATCTCTACAAAAGAACATTTGTTATCCAAAGGACTTACCTTTTCCAGACAGGTAATGAAACTTCAATGGCCCTTTGCACAAAAGACAGGTGACACCACACTAATAATGGTTGGTTAATAAATACCTTTAATTGGATACCTGTATTTTGCTGTTCATTTTAGTTATGTAAGTATGACAAGTAGCAGAACAATGTTTTAACATAAAAGGCAGCTAAAGCAAATTAAATGAAAAAGTGAACACAAAAATTCCTCCAACCCTAAAAAGGTATCAAAAAGGTTCCTTTTTAAAGTATAGCTAAAAGGCAAAACTTTTTCCAAATCTAAAAAAAAGAAAAAAGAAAAAGCTGTACGGGGTTAACGCACGCAGCGTGCGGGTGCCGGGAGAGCGGAGGGACAGGAGGACCGGAGGTCGGCAGTCGGGGGAGCCGTGAGAGCGGCGGAACAGGAGGTCGCCAGCCGGTGGCGAGGGCGGACGGTGGAGAGGACGGACGTGTGTACACATATTACTTTAACCCCAGGGGCATAGTGCAACAAACACAAGGGCTTTAGAATAACTTAATTTAAACCCAGTGTTTTAGTGTAACTTAATTTAACCCCAGGACAGCAAATTAAGCAACCCCAAGGCCATAGCGTAACTGAGCGTAATCAACCCCAGGGCCAGAGTGAAAGTAAATTAATCCCAGGGAAAATTTTAAGAACTCAAGGGTTTCAATAAAGTAACCATAGGGCCATAGTGTAATTAAATGTATCCCTAGGGCGATAGAGGAAGTTAAGTAAAACCCAGGGCAGTAGCAGAATCAACAGCCGGGCCAAAGAGTAATCAACCAGAGGGCTGTAGCATAATAACTTAACCCCAGGGTGTAGTGAAACTCACCTAAACTAAATTAACCACAGGGTAAATTAAATTAAGGATTTCTATAAATTAAAATAACCTCAGGGCTGTTACTTGACAGAAAAATAGAATAAAAACAAAAAATAAAAAGGGGATAATGTCTTCCATGAGTCGGTATGCAACCCGGTGCACATCATGCGCAATGTATGCGTTCCTCGAACAGGCGTTCGAGGGGGCATACATTTGCACCAGATGTGAGCGACTTGTTTGTTTGGAAGCCCAGATTCTGGATCTAAGCAAAAAAACTGGCAACACTAAGGAGCATAGCCAACATGGAAAGGAGTCTGGACATAACGCACCCGGCTGTGGTGGAGGGAGGCTTAGATGAGGCGGGGGGTGCGGAGGAGCAGGATCCTGAGGTGGGAAGCTGGGTCACTGTTAGAAGACGGGGTAGAGGGAGGAGTGGGAGAGAGGTCAGCCGTGAGCTGGTTAACCCCAGTATGTATATATGCTAAAAATAACCTCCTTATGCACATCCGTGACGATATCAGATGGTGGAGATGATGTGGAATCTTTATGGCTAGAACTAGATAGTACGGACCTTAGCCGTAAACTTATTGTGGGTGTCTGTTATAAACCTCCAAATATAGGGGAAGAGGAGGAGGCCCACTTACAATCCCAAATAGAAACAGCGGGGAAACAGGGAAATGTTGTGGCAGTGGGCGACTTCAATTACCCAAGTATCAACTGGGCTAATGCAACTTCCCAATCGGCAAAGGCTGCCCGTTTTCTTAATATGTTGCGAGACAATTTTATGGATCAGATGGTTGAGGTCCCGACTAGAAAAAAATGCCATCCTAGATCTGATCATCAGCAATAATACGGAGTTAATTGAGGAGGTAATCGGGGAGACACTGGGTAATAGTGATCACAAGGTGATTACTTTTAATATTGGGTGGAGGAGAGGGGAGTGGGCTGGTCGAACAAGAAGCCTAAACTTCAGGAAGGCCAACTTTGACAAACTACGAAATATAGTGGGTGAAATCGAATGGGAAAACTTATTTCATAAACTAAACTTTGACCAACAGTGGGACTGTTTCAAGAACAAATTAAAAAATGCTATTACCAGGTGTATACCATTGCGTAACAAAAGTAAAAGATCAAAAACGAAGCCAATATGGCTAAAAAAAAAAGTAAAACAACACATTAAGGAAAAGAAAGTGGCATTTACTAAGTATAAAAGGGAGGGGACAGTATTGGCATTCCAAAACTACAAAGAATGTAATAAAAGATGTAAACTGGTAGTCCGGGCAGCTAAAATTGAATGTGAGAAGTATATCGCCACATGTCAGTAAAAGGAACCCCAACATTTTTTATCAATACATAAACAGTAAAAAGGGGAGAAAGGAACAGATAGGCCCAATAAAGGACAAAAACGGGAGGTTAGTCACAAACGCCAGGGAGAGGGCCGAGACGCGAAATACTTTTTTCTCATGGCTATTCACCAAGGAAAAAGACGGGTTTAATGTACATAGTAAAACACAAAAATTAAAAAGAAATACACCCGAGTGGTTGACTGAAACTGGGATACAACATGGGCTTAAACTACTAAATGCAAATAAAGCATTAGGACCCGATAATCTACATCCCAAAGTACTCAAGGAACTCAACAATGAGATAACGAGATCATTGTTCCTCATTTTTAAGGAATCCATAATGGCTGGTAGAGTGCCAAGCGACTGGCGAAGGGCTAATGTGGTACCTATATTAAAAAAAGGGTCAAAATGCCAACCGGGGAACTATAGACCAGTTAGTCTGACATGCATAGTATGTAAACTGTTAGAGGGAATTATTAAGGACTACTTAGTGGAATTCGTCCGGGATCATGGCATAATAACTGATAACCAGCATGGATTTAGGAAGGATCGTTCTTGCCAGACCAACCTGCTAACCTTTTACGAAGAGGTAAGTAGAGATCTGGATGGAGGGAGGACGGTGGATGTAGTATATCTGGACTTTTCCAAAGCATTTGATACGGTGCCACATAAACGCTTGTTATACAAGCTAAGGTCTATGGGCATAGATGAAGTAGTGTGCACGTGGATAGAAAACTGGCTAAAGGAACATGTACAAAGAGTATAGATAAACGGCACCTTTTCAGACTGGGCTGAGGTCATGAGTGGCGTGCTCCAGGATTCTGTGCTGGGCCCCATGCTTTTTAACCTGTTTATTAATGATATCGGGGGAGGGAGTGAGTAGTCATGTCTCAGTGTTTGCTGATGATACGGAAATTGGGAGGGTAATAGACACGGATTTAGATAGTGTAACATTACAGGAGGACCTGGATAAACTCAGGGAATGGGCAACTATATGGCAGATGAAGTTCAATGTCGATAAATGCAAGGTAATGCACTTTGGAGTTAAAAATAGGCAAATGGACTATACACTTATGGGTGTGCCACTAGGGAAGTCGGAAACGAAGAAGGATTTGGGGGTCATTATAGACTGCAGATTGAAGAACAGATCGCAGTGCCAGACTGCTGTAAACAAAGCAAGTATAGTCCTGTCTTGCATTAAGAAGGGAATGTATTGCAAGGACAAGTCTATAATTTTGCCACTTTACAGATCGCTGGTTTGGCCACATCTGAAGTATGCGGTCCAGTTTTGGTCACCGATACTCAGAAAAGATGTCCTTGAGCTGGAAAAAGTCCAGCGGAGGGCAACCAAGCTCATTAAGGGGTTTGAAGACCTGAACTATGAAACAAGGTTGTTAAAATTTAAATATGTTCTCTTTGGAGGTTAGGAGATTAAGGGGGGACATGATTTTCTTGTATAAACTGTTCAACGGCGATAGCAAAATTTTTAAGAAACTGTTTACGGTTAGCTCCGTCACAAAGACCAGAGGGCACCACCACAAATTGGTAGAAAAAAAATTTATACGAACGGTTAGAGCGGTAAGGGTCTGGAACTCACGGACGCATTAAGTGATTTCAGCGAAGAGTGTGGAATCATTCAAGAAACTCCTGGACGAGTTCCTTGGAGACCATAACATACAGGGGTGCAGGTACTCTTAGGAGCAAAATCACACATGGACTCATATACACGCACACAACTGCTCAAACATAAATGCATACACGCAATAGGTTGGACTTGATGGACTTATGTCTTTATTCAACCTCAAATACTATGTAACCCTTTCACTGACAACAGTGTATGCCGTATATCACTGGCATCGGGCCCCTGTACACAGACTCCCAGCGGATATTCCCAGGCTCTGCTGCCCCTCTTGCAGGTATGGGGCCGACATGACGGGTGTCAGAGGGTAGAGATATCTCTCCAATGCAGAATGGAGCCAGAAGCGCCGCTGATTGCATCACTTCCGTTTCCTCTGCTGTCATTCCCCAGCTAGAGAAGCCAGGGAAGAATCTATTCAAGCATAATCTGCGCTTGAATAGCTTCTTTGCAGTGGAAAGGTGACACTAGGGGGTCTAACATAGTTACATAGTAACAGACCCCTAATGTCACCTTAAAGAGAATCTATTACCACAAATATATCACATAGGGGGCTTGTGAGCTCCAAGACTAGACTAGAGAAAAATTCAAAAGTTAGGAGGGAGCTATCATTTTTAAGGAGCATTGGCTGTGGGGCTCCTGGGATTTGTGCATCCCTGTTTTAATGTATCTCAAAAAGCACAGACAAAAAAAGGAACAAGCGCACTACCAAAGGTACAAATTGGGCTTCCAACAGGGCTATAGAAAACAGTGTGCAGCTCTTAGAGGCAGGGAGAGGAGCCCTGTGTTGGCAATAGCAGACTGTAGTGTGTTTAAGAGCGCTACTCCTGTATAAGTTCAATTAGACAGTCATGAAATGTAACAATGTTGTATCACACTGGGGATTAACAAAATACAAAGTGACTCACTTTTAGATGTCCTAGGGAGCTTTGAGAATGGTCCGGTGGAGACACTAAGACAAATCTGGAGAAGTGAAGCCCAGTAGTGTGGTCGGCAGAGGACATAGGTGCAGATGTCTGTCGCAAAGAAAC